TTTGGGGATACATTTATATTCAACATTTTACATTTCAAATGTTGTAACTAATCTGTTTTTCAACGGAGTTATTCATTTTACCATTGCTGCATACTCATACTGCATATTTTCACCATTTCTGCTACTTTGTTACTTGGTATATCTTATATGTAGACAGACAGATTTAATTGAAAATTGTGACAGAAGAATATTTTAGAAAAATCTGAACAAAGTCACAAATTGGATACAAATATTTCAAGAAAGGTAATATTTTTATGTTTTCAATTAGGTTCAAAATGGAAGGCCTAACTTATTATGTTTGGGGAATCCATGTATGTGGGATTCACCATAGACCCTCTGTAGCCTCTGATTTTGTACTTGACCTTTCCTCTATAACCTCTCCTTCCTTTCTTAGTTCTCTCATTAGTTCTTGGTTGAAAGTAATTCTTCAGCCTTCAGACCCACCTGTAAGGTTTACTCAGAAGTATTAACCCTCATTCTTCTCAGTGTGAACCTATGATGACATAACAGTAGAGCCCTTTATACAGAGCCTTAGCCGCCTGGTTACAGTCAAGTACACATTTGATTAATGGTCACAGAGCAACAGGTCAATAACCAATTAAAGAGAACCGTAGAAGTCAAGCCACTGATCTAGAAAAAGAGAGAAATTTATACTCTTTAACTTACCTTTCTTAAAACTACAGAGACATAACAGAAAAAAAAGAGTGGGGGAAAATCTTGATGTCTTGATAAGCTGTGACTAGAACAAAATCAGCAAGCCTCCATGAAACACACAGAGGTCATGAAAAGGAAGTCTTTGTGTAGGAGCTGTTTGGCCTCTGGCTAAATGTTCAATATTCCTTAGAACCAGCAGACTTAAAATATGACTACGTAAATGGAGCGGTTGATAAATTACAGGGGGGAACAAATTGGATATCCTGCCTCATCCCCCAAAGTCTCCCCCCTCCAGGAGTTTTATCTGAAGCTGGTTTGAGTTAGACCATTGGTCTATAAAGGTTTGTACTGCCTACTGTGACTGGCAGCAGCTCTCCAGTTTCTCAGGCACAGTCTTACACCTGCTTTCTGATCTGTTAAACTCCCATCCCTCTGAGAGGATTCTTCTCTCCTTTTTTTCTTTTAGCTTGTGCCATCTGTGTGTCAGCAAGCTGCCATTATGTTTCTATGACCTCTGTGTACATATCCTTCCCCTGTTGCACCCGGCTTGTTATTCTGCTTCTATGCTGGAATGCCTAAGATAATCTACTGGAGGGTTTGTGGAGGAGAGGATGCTGTAATGCTTGCCACTGATTATCGCTTGGGAACTGCACCTGTGTTTTGTCTGATGTTCTGCCTGGTTCTCATGGACTGGGCGCGCAACCGTTTCTTTAGCCCGCCAGCGGGAATGTTATTCATTGGATCTGTGTCTGTTTGAATTTCCTTTATTATGCTTGCCCTACCTGTGTATCCCCAGTTCTAACAAAAAACGTGTTTGAGTGTCTTTCCAACGCTTTGAAATAAATTTTGCTTTTCTTGAAAACGTGGATTTATTCTCGATGCTTGGGGATCCAACAATAGGGATACATATTTCATTTTGTTGTTAATTATCTACCTGTCTTGTTTACTACTGTTTTGTTCAGAGTTGTGCACTATCTATCTGAGTTATACACTATCACCTGGCATTTTTGCTGTTTTATAGTTTTCTCCCTGAGTTTTAGATGAAGCAGTTATACAATTTGGGGAACACCTGAACTGAGAAGTAGGGTGACTCCTACCTGTGGAGACAGGAAGTTTAAAATTAAGACCTGCCTCCTTTACTAATTGGTGAACTCACTCAAGCTGAGATGCCTTCCCTTCCTAAGAGCAGAAGGGATGTTCACAGGGTGATGCCAAGATTCTCTTCTCTTCCATTCCCAGTCAGCCACTTCTGCCCTGGAATATCTTCTGCACTTCTGTCTCCCTTCCCCCCTTTTCTATAAGTAATGTCTGGATTCTCCTTGTGAATGTGGGTCTGGAACCTTTCTGGGAGTTGTGCACTTTCTAAAGGAATGGGGGTGGCAGGGGAAAGGTTGTGCACCTCTTCCGTCCACCTCTTCTATGCTGAGGTTCCTTTGCATTGGAAAAGGTGCCACTGAGCTTTCGCTGCATGCAGCTACAGTGTAAATTGCAGTTTGTTCCTGATTCCCCAGCCAACCACTTTAATTCTAAACTTCCATTTTTGCATGGAAAGGCTGTGAGGTCAGGAGCACTTGAATATCTTGAGTGCCTACCCATGTAAGTCTTCTCCCATTGCCTCCCGTTGTTTATAATACTAAGACATCTAGGATGATAAGTTCTAAAGATTTAACTAGGGAGGTTATATTTATTAGACTTTGTATAATTTCTTATCAGATCCAGCTGTGACCAGGGATTAAATGTGGGAACAACTACAAAATTAGATGATAAAGATTGGTGGTATCTGTGTGGCAGGAATCGAGGCAATTGCCTGGATAACCGGCAATTGCCTGAATAACCATGGGCAAAAGCAAGGGGTGAACCACTAGCAGCATATTAAACAGGATTTCTGGGATCTGCATTATTTTTCCATACCTTTCATGAGATAAAGATGTACAGTTTAGAGCTGCTTCAAAAGAATTAGTAAGCCCATGGCTGTATTAGTGGGATGCAGGGACTTGCTATGCTAGGTTCCTTTGCTTATCACATTTAAATTAATCATATAAATCCTTGGATGACTTGGGGTTCACCTTGCTTATAATTTACTCTATTTTCTTATGTCTCATTTTAGCTATTACAATAAAATGTTCTTTTTACGGTAAGGTGCATCATTATGCTTAAGTAGCAAAGACAGATAAATGTCTTGGTAACTGCTGAAAAGCCAGTATAGAACTTGGTTTCTTGAAGATTTATTGAATTAGCCTAAAATTCTAATAAATATAAAATACTGTGGCCAGAACCCAAGAATTGCCCAACTAGTTTTGTGTGCTCAAGGAGGGATTTGAACTTGTATTTCCTGAACAAGTATTCGCCATGCTATGCCACATAGTAAATTACTTTTTGAGACTAAACAGTGTTTCAGAGGCAGTTTGTAATGCAAGGTAAAAGCAGGCCTTAACAGATTTTCTTTTGCTCTAGAGGCCAAAATTTAGTACCTAGACTTATTTTTCAGCTTTTACGATTTCATACCTTAGTGACTAAACTTTCTAATTATTGGCGCGATGAAACTTCATTAACCTTTCTTCACAGTTTCTTGTAATTTTATCTCTGCTATGAGAAAGTGTAGTATATAAATAAAGTAGGGGCAGCCCTGGTAATCATCACTGCAACAAAAATCTCACCAAGGGCCTAATTTATAAATATGCCCAAGGGGCTATTAGAATCTGAATGAAGCCATTCTCAAGATACTTCTCTTTCCATGCTGTGAATATTCTTCCCACCCTAACAATCGGAATGGAGCAAACCTTTCAGAAGTTAGCTTAATCTCTCTCCAGTAACCACTGGGCATGTGAGTGGAAGTGAATAGGATCACTTTCTCTTTTAGTTGTTGGAGGCATGGCGGTTGAGGTTTTTGTCCACTCCCTGTCTCCAGTTGGAATCAGAAGAGGAACTCTGCTAGCCTCAGAAATCTCTAGCCAATCCCTTTTGTTAAGACTAGGTGCAGAGCTTGCCAAAACTGATGAAGTCCATCTGATTACTGCCAAAGAAGGGTCTATGTTGAAAACACTAGGCGCCAAGATGACCTGACACCTGGATTTGTCAAGCAGTGGTATAAGTAGAGGTGAACTATCCAGAAATTTTAAAGCCATGGTAAACAAACCTGTGTGTTTTCACTGAAAATACATGTATGTTTTAGGAAAAAATCAAAATATAGCATTTATAACTTAATTGGCATATAAAATTGTTCTGTTATGCAGCCTGAAAGTTGACTTGAATGTTTTGCAGGGATGCTATAACTCCAGTCTTCTCCCATGAACACTGGCTCCCAATTTACTTCCAGGCCCAATTCAAGGAGCTGGCATTGATTTTTAAAGCCCTATATGGCTTGGAGCCAGCATGCCTTAAGGACAGCCTTGTCCTTTATGAATCTACCTGTCTATTCCAATCATCTTTAGGTGCCTTGCTTTGGTTGTCCCTGCCATCTTATGCTAGATGGGTTGCAAGGCAACCCAAAAAAGAGCCTTCTCAGTCATGGCTCCAGAACTTTGGAACTCCCTCCCCAGGGAGATTCATTCGTCTTCCTACATCATTGTCTTCCACAAGCAAGAGAATACATTTTTATTTTGTTTGGCATACCTCTAACAAATTTTTATTGACCCTCTTCTCTAGTGTTTTGTGTGTGTGTGTGTGTTTGTTTGTGCCCATATCTCTGTATGTTTTATTGTATTGTTTTAAATGTTTTGAAGCCTTGATGTTAACTGCCTTGGGGAGTGTATTTGGGTGGAAAGGCGGCATATAAATGTTTTAAATAAAGCTGATCATTCCCTGCAAAGCTAATTAGTGGAACTGACAATGCTCTGGGAAGAGCATTTACTCAGTTATGCTTTCAAGTGATGTCTACAACATGTTTAGATTGGAAATGCAAGAAGGAACATAATTATCTATGTGGCTGTGATGAAATGGAATTATCTGGTATCTTGGCCCAGGAGATATATTTTTGTAGGAATTTTTTCCTTTCAATCTTGCATTTCACAGCAGCACAGAATCCTGTGCATATTTGTGCCGTAGTAAGTACCATTGTGTTCAATGGAGCTTACTACTGGGAAAGTAGGAATAGGATTACAGCGCAAGAAATGTTTCTGAACGTTGGAGACTGACAGTACTACAATTAATTTAGTATTTTAATATTCTTGTATATTATTCAGCTACTGTCCTTTTGTTTTAAAAACAGTCAGTGCTGAAGATAAAGGCTGTAGTTTTAAGAATTAGCTGGAACATTAATGTGATATGGTTTTTCAGTTATGATGAATACTTAAATGTGCTGAGTTCACATTACGCATCTTTATGCTAATACTGATTGTCTCTGTTTTATGTTTACAGCTGACATTATCTCAACAGTTGAATTTAATTACTCTGGAGATCTTCTTGCAACAGGAGACAAAGGTGGCAGAGTGGTTATATTTCAAAGGGAACCAGAGGTCAGTGCCATTCGAAACAATGAAAGTGGGTTATTAAAACAGCTTTCCTGTTTGTTTAAAGAAAGTGATGTCGTACGATCACATCACCAAGTTTACTTAGATTCATGATGTGTCCCTGCATAGTTTTTAGTCTATTCTGTTTTATTGAATTTGATCCATACCTGAAGCACTTGGCAAGCCAGGGAATGATTTTTCTCCAGAAGCCATTCCGTCACAATCAGTTTTCAGGCTACTATGAGCATTCACCTTTTAAACTGATAGTATTTATAAAAGACTAGGAAAAAGGTCCGTTGTGGAAATAAATACAACGGCTTCTGGAAAGAGGCTCTGGGCGGGTGCCCCGGCCTTGAACACACAGTGTCAATTTGCTGTGGTGACCTCAGCAGGGTATAATGACACTGAGTCCACCATTTTCTCCAGAGGAATTGATCTCTGCTACCTAAAGAACAAGGAGCTGCGGTGGCTCAAGTGGTTAAGACGCTGAACTGCAGGCTGTGGAAGGTCAGTAGTTCAGCAGTTCAAGACCCGGGTGCCGCATGATGGAGTGAGCGCCCATCTCTTGTTCCAGCTCCTGCCAACCTAGCAGTTCGAAAGCAAGAATTGCAAGTAGATAAATAGGGACCACTTCGGTGGGAAGGTAATAGCGTTCCGTGCGCCTTGGTGTTTAGTCATGCCGGCCACATGACCACGGAAACGTCTTCGGACAGCGCTGGCTCTTCGGCTTTGAAACGGAGATGAGCACCGCAACCCTAGAGTCGGATTCGACTGGCTTTCGAGCAAGGGAACCTTTACCTTTACCTAAAGAACAGTTGTAATTTTGAGTGCTCTCCAGCCCTCACCTGGAGATTGGCAACGATGGTTCCCCAGAAGGGAATAGTTGGTTTGGAGGGTGGAGTCTATGGCTTTGTACCTGTCCAAGGTCCCACGCCTCCTGAAACCTCACCCTCTCCAGGCTCCATCCCTCACATCTCCAGGAATTCCCCACCTGGAGTTGGCAACCCTATCTCCTTCCCAGCCAATCATCAACCTACCTTTATTTCCCCCTCACTCTTCAGCTTTCCACACCCCACACACCTGCAGTCTCTCCCGTGCTCTGAAGCCCTGACTGATACGTCACATTGGCTGTGTCATATGGGGGGCACCTCAGCAGCATATAAGGATACAGAGCCCACCATTTTCTCCAGGGGAACTGATCTCTGCCATCTGGAAAGCAGTTGGAATTCTGAGTGATCTCCAGCCCTCACCTGGAGATTGGACTCATTTTACCTCAGAACAGGAAAACTGTTTAGAATGTTAGAGGCAAAAGCCAATCAAGTCGCATATGCAAACGACCTCTGTGTTCCGAGGCAGAGGCCAATGAGGCTGCATATGCAAATAACCTTTGTGTTCTGACTGGCTGTGGGGGGGAGAGGAATAGCAAAATGTTTAGAATGTTGGAGGCAGGACTCAGGCAAAGCAGCCAGTGGATAGGGAGACCCTCTGAATGACAGATCAGAGAGCGAACTGATTTTGGAGTATGTGTAATGTTCTAGAGAAGTGCCACCACCATTCGGCTTTTATTTATTAGGGAGATGCCTGCTTCATTCATAAGCAAGTCTAGAACATGTAGAGAAAAATCTTTCCATTGTGTTTTAACCTTTCTGAAAAATCGTGTAACTATTGATTAAGAGATGTTAAAGAATAACATTCTTATGGAATCTTGAATGGTGGGACAAGGAGGCTGCTTCACCCTTTTTTAATGCAGGGCACTACATTAGCCATGTGTAGAAGTGTAACTGCATTATACCACTGTGGGAAGTAGCAGATAAACATTCTGTGAGAACAGATGCAACATGCAACAGTGTATGTACGTTTCCCTGTTCATAAGTGGTTACTTGTATAGGGAATATATAATGTGAAATAACCTTTAAAAAGGGAGAGAAACATGGACTTATAGAAAGTTAATATACAAGATTTCTTTGGTAAAAGCAGCATATGTTCAAATGTTACCTTTGCCATGAACACATGGTACCTTTGAAAATTACATGATATTTTTTATTGATAACTTCTTAACAAATCTCTTTGGTATGTACACACTACTTTAGAACCACTTTCTATTGTTTTTGCTTCCTTGCAGAATAAAAGTCGTCCTCATTCAAGGGGAGAGTATAATGTTTACAGTACCTTTCAAAGTCATGAACCTGAGTTTGACTACTTGAAAAGTCTAGAAATTGAGGAAAAGATTAATAAAATTAGGTGGTTACCACAACAGAATGCTGCTCACTTCTTATTATCTACAAATGGTAAGGAAATTTATAAAATACATTTTGCTGTAGGTGTTCTAGAAATGAGATGATTAGATGCACCTAGGTTTCTTGGTACTTTATAAATATTGCATCATTTCTAATATAATCACACATGAACCACACATGAAGCTACCTTATACTGAATCAGACCCTCAGTCCATCAAGGTCAGCATGGTCTACAACAGACTGGCAGCAGCTCTCTAGGGTCTCAGGCTGAGGTCTTTCACATCACCTACTGCCTGGTCCCTTTTAACTGGAGATGCCAGGGATTGAATCTGGGACTTTCTGCATGCCACATTCTTTGGCATGTCTTGCCTTTTTACTTATTTTTGTAGAAACTGATGACTTGCAGAACAAATGCAAGAAGAAATGGTATCTCTTTAGTTTATGATCTTCTGCATTACATATAATGAAGTTACTGATTCTATACTAATAAAGTTCTGATACCTTGCAAGGAGACTGGTCTATACTACTAGATTGGAGAGTTATCTAGCAAAGAACAGAATAGTGTCATCTATAATAGAAACAGCTTTTGTAATAAGTACAGTACTACAGCTTGCCTATTTATATTGTCATAGGGTTCCGGGGTGGAACATCCGGCAAGCTGCATGTCCACAAGCTGTTGTCTGCTTCATTGGGGCAAGGGGGTGGTGGTAAAAAGTGAAAAACAGCTATGCTGAAGTAAGACTACTTAAATGTTGTTGAGACCTGTTGTTTCTTTGAGGCCCAGTGCTCTATGTTGGCAAAGTTGGGCATCTGCTAAGACTTATGCACCAGCATGGACCTCAACAACTGATCCAGTGCCATTTGACTGCCACTCTGTTCTGCTTGGGTTCATTCAGAGATGCAGATCTCAGGCAACTTGCACGGCTGTCTTGTTCTGTTTGTTGGCTCCTCTTATCCTCTTACATAAAGGCAAACAAGGGAGAGGACTCCTAAAATACCCATCACTGTTGCTAGCTCTGTGGCCGCACTGTTGTGGCCTCTCTTCACCTGCCCTCTTACCTTGATGAAGCAGTCTACTATGATCTCTGTTCTCCCATTCATGGAGATTCAGCAGGTAGAACAGGTTCTGTATGTGAGCATGATAGGGAAGTAAAGGAAATCAAGAGGGTTTTCTCTTGTCACCTTTGGACATCTTATTTTATGCCATGATTGCTTACATCAAAAGTGTTGTTGCTTGTTGAGGAATTATATTTATCCTGTAATTGCATCCTAATCTCAAATTAAAATTAGACAGTTGTGAATGTATTTTTAAATAATTACAGAGCTATACACTAAAAATAGCCATACCTGAATAAGGCCCAGGTATTTGACAATGCCAGTTTGCTGTATTCTTGAGTAGTACATAAGCTAACATTAATTATTTAAGGGCCAATAATGTATTTTGCTGAACTGATGCTTTCACTCTAAGAAGATAACATAATAGTACTAGAGAAACGGCAGGTTTACTTTGCCTGCAATCCTTTTCTGGGAGTAAGCCCCACTGTATAAAACTAGATTTATTTCTGAGTACACCTTTGGATTATTCCTTGTTTTTATCAGTTCCCCTCATTACTGTTAGAGGTTTCTAAGTAATCCTATTTCTTTCCTGATCTTGGTTAACATAAGAAGTCCCCCACAAGCTTATCTAACAATAGGGACAATGAGAGTATTTACCTAGCAAAACTAGTTTTTCTTCTCCTATTTTGTGTCTGTGCAAATTGATGTTTAAAAAAATATGTACTAAAAGAAAAACAAACATAGAAAGCTCCTCTTTACAATATAACCACATTTTGAGTACGAGCGGCACATAACTTAGAGAGCACATTTTTGGTCTTAATAGGGTAGACTAGCTGAAGAAATGTGGCCGAAGTATCTTACGTTCTTAAAGTTCAGAATAGAAACACATTTTCAAAATGTATATGTTCCTTGCCCTGTATTTAATTTGGCCAGCTCACCCATAGTGAATGCTTTATCCTGAAGCTGCTGCACAGAGCTGCTGGAGATTAAACAAGACCTACCTCCTCAGACAGATACTAGGGAAGAGGCAGAGAAGGGGTTGCTCTCTTTCTTTCCCTTATTGAAGGATCCGCAAGAGGTGAAAAAAAGCCTTTCTCTCCCTCTCCCCACAAGTGCTCTGTGCACGTTAAGAGACTGGGAGGGAGAGGCTGAATCCTCCTTCATTTCACATGGAGGCTTTTGCAAAAGGTAAAGAAGTGTATATTCCACACAGAGACACACACACACACCCCTATACCAAAATTCTCAGGCCAGTTGAAACACACACATTGATTCATTTGCAAATAATTATAAATAACAAGTGTCTGTTATATTTGTTTTTAGTACTATTTGACTTGAACAATTTGTTCAAAATGTCTTTTTTCTTTTAGATAAAACTATTAAATTATGGAAAATCAGTGAAAGGGATAAGAGAGCTGAAGGTTATAACTTGAAAGATGAAGATGGAAGACTTCGGGATCCATTTAGAATCACAGCATTAAGGGTATCTTGCAATCCTAATTTAGAACCAATGAAATCTATGTAACCTGTTATTCTGCTGTTGTATTATGTGGATGGGCAAATGTACTAGATGTTTAAATGCTAGAAAGCTTCCAGTGATCTTCTTAAAAGATTACCACTTATGTGGTACACCAGCTTGGTGTAGTGGTTAAGAGCAGCAGACTCTAATCTGGAGAACTGGGTTTGATCCCCCACTCCTCCACATGAAGCCTGCTGGGTGACCTTGGGCCAATCACAGTTCTCTCAGAACTCTCTCTGCTCCACTTAATCTCACAAGGTGCCTATTGTGGGGAGAGGAAGGGAAAGGCAATTGTAAGCTGCTTTGCGACTCCTTAGGCTACAGAAAAGAAGGGTATAAAACCCTTCTCTTCTTCATAAAATAGTTGTCATTTTTAAAAGTCTAAAGAAAACTTCAGAACAAGTAGGTTATTTGTTGTGTTTAGTATCCTTTGTTAGATATGCTAGAGTACTTACATGTTATTGGGGGGGAAGAATGGGCAATTTCATTTGAGAACACTGGAGTTATACATTTTGGTTTACACAGTGTTTTCATGATGCATTAAACTTAGATGTGTTTGAGACATGAGGAAATAGGAGCTGTGCAAAGAAGCTTTTAGACATGTTCGAACTTTGATGTTCAAAATGGTATTCCAAGATAGAAGACAGAGGAGCAAATGTCAAAGGAAATTGAAAAGCCTGATGCACATACCTTGGTGCAGTTTCCTTAGGTGTAGTGTCACTGTCCTATACCTTCATATTTTAAAATAAACTAGTGGTCTTGGAGGTAATAGAAAAGGAAGTATCAGATGCTTTCAGTATTGGCTGGCAACACTTTTGTATCTTGACCTGTGCCCTGATGACTGAGGTCCTGAAATAGCTAAAATGGTAACTTCGATACTAATTTAAATGGACATTTTAACCATTTTAATTGAAATGCCACATTTGTAAATGGATCAATCTGGGATTTATCCATAGAAAACCAGCACACAGCATGGTAGCAGCGTTTGAAAATTATTCGGCCATCTCTCTTTGCTTAACGTATGTTAAACATTATTTTATAAACTACTTTTTACTTTAAAGTACAGAAAATGGGAGCATACATCATGGTTGAAATGCTGTTGAATTTAGAGTTCCAGTGGCAAGTGATCCCCATTGCAGACATGAAGCCTGCAAATGCTTGCAGTGTGAATTGGCGCTATCATGCAGAGAGTAATGCTAGAAATGCATCATAGAGTTGGTGACACATTATGACCAGCACAAGGATGGCTTATAAGGGAGCCAGTTTTGAGCAGCATCTCTGGCAGCTGATATACATTCAATCATTTAGAACTTTAGCGTGAAAGCTAGTTGACTTTTGATGAGAAAGATGTGGCAAATCATGCTTTGGAGAGACTTGGCTTTCTTATGGTTAAAATCTTAATCCACTGCTGAAGTCTTTGATACATATATATTTGAGTAAAAATTAAGGCTAAACTGAAAAATACAATTTTACTGTAATTTTGGAATCCCACAAAATTGGAATGCCTATAGTGGATTTTTACACTAAATTTAAATTATATTCCTGGAGTAAATACATTACAAGCAACTCCTGTAACTTTTAAATTATATTATTATTATTTTATTAAGTAAGTGCTGCAACTTTCAGAAACAAACTCATTATTTTCTCCATTTTTAGGTGCCAATCTTGAAACCCATGGACCTAATGGTAGAAGCAAGTCCCCGAAGGATATTTGCAAATGCACACACGTATCACATAAACTCTATTTCAGTTAATAGCGATCATGAAACGTACCTTTCCGCAGATGACCTAAGAATCAACCTGTGGCATTTAGAAATCACAGATAGAAGTTTTAGTATCCTTTTTATTATGTTATCCTTCTGTTACAGTATAATTAAAACATTTTGATTAATAGAAATGTTTACTGCTAATTGCCTCTATGATAACGTGGTCTCTTGTTTTGTAGATTGTAAAGCACCTGTATTACTCTATATGGGTTATTTGATATCCATTAGGCTTCTATACTGATTTTTAAGGATGCAAAACTTGCAATCTAAGCAAAGCAGGTAGTATTTCCTGAAGCAAGGGAAAGCAGAGTTCACAGCTGTCCTGATTTCATCTGTCAAAATAATGAATAGTAGTGGAGTCTGCTGTTTTCGTGTCTTTTGAAGTAAGCTGCTTTTCTCTAGTTTTAAGTTTTGTAAAAAAAAAATTTGTAAAAGTCTTGCCATATCCAATGCCATATTTGGGGACTTTTGGCTGGCAGTCGAGTGTATTACTGAGCATTTGGAGGTGGTGGCGGCTACAAGCATGGATGGCTTCAAGAGGGAATTAGATAAGCATATGTAACAGAGGTCCATCGGTGGCTATTAGCCACAAGGTATAGATAGGGAATCTGGGGAAAGTGATGCTCTGTATTCTTGGTGCTGGGGGGGGGGGGTCAACAATGGGAGGGCTCCTAGTGTCCTGGCCCCACTGCTGGAACTCCTGATGGCACCTGGGATTTTTGGCCACTGTGTGACAGTGTTGGACTGGATGGGCCATTGGCCTGATCCATCATTGGCTTCTCTTATGTTCTTATCAGCTGCATATGTGAATGCATACCCCTACCTTCCTCCATGCTGAACAGCTTAGCCCCTGAAGTTCCTGCCGGCTTCTTGCTGAAAGAGGTAGATTCATATCCACAGTCCATGGTTGGGGACATTCAGTTAGTATACTGTTTTAGGCCTGGTCTACATAATGAAGCACAATGAACTATTAATGAGGTTAGCAGAAAGTGAAGTGATGGAATTCTTCAGACTGGAAATGTGGGGTTACACTTTTTCAGAGTTCTCCTGTATTAATAATTGCCTGTAATTGAACACCTAGCACATCCTATAAAAAGCTAGGCTACAACCTCTCACCCTAGTATGCTAGCTTTATGTTTATGGAGAGGGGTTTGTGTGTGGGGTTTTTTTATTAACTTGGGGGAATGTGACTTTTACTGCTAATTGCCTCTTTGACCAGCAGTCTGAAGAGGGAGCCCATTCTGCCACCTTATTCTGTTGCGTGTGTAGACCAGGCCATAATCTCATGCTAGCATCTGTGTACTATATATAACTTTGGCACACAGTTTAGAGTAGTGAGACTTAGTGGCTCTTTGACATGCTTCTTTTGGCTCCTGGGCACAGTCCCTCAACGTTGCAATCACCCCATCGTCCAGGAAAACGAGGAAGGCCATTGTGGTTGGCAGGTTGTTCCCACCATGAAATAGCTTCTGCAATAGGCTGGGAAAGCTGTCAGCCTCCCTGAGCTGCAGGTCTCATGCCAGGGATAGAAGCATAGGGCCCATCCTTTTCAACAACCCACCCACCCTTCTCCACAGCTTCTACACTTTCCCCCTGTCACCTGGGCAGCCTCCAGGAGGAGAGCAGGCTGGTCACAGAGAAGAGAAAGTACATCCACCACTGCGGTAGCCACCCAGGAAAAAAGCAAGCTGGCCATAGGAGGGTGGTAGTAGTTTTGTTCCCTTTTCTCCACAGCCAGTTTCTTCTCCTTTGGGAGCCTTTTCTCTCACTTTGAGGAGAGAGTGAGAAAGCAGAGAGGACAGCCCCCCCCCCCTCATTAAAGATACA